GTAACTTTTGTTAACCATTTCAAGCGTATGTAAGATTAAATTAATGTAGTAATGGAAAAAGAGAGCCAGGTTTCTCACAATTAGAGAAGTTACAAATAAGAATGAACTCTGATGTTAGATCAACATTGGAGATAGAAGTATGAACTCATGGTTTTTAGATGTGTAAGTTGATAGACACATGTAGAAATATAGTGATGGGTAAATATAGCTGCATTTCTGTGTCTTCACCACATACTCCCTAGCTCTTTCTGTACCAAGCCTAGGACCAATGGTGTCCATTGTTAATAAACACAATGATGATCCAGATCTTGGTACTTGAATTCATTCTCCAATAAAAACTACCAATGTTCCTTGGAAAATGAGTGATGTTAGGCCTAAAAGGAAAAAATACAGATTAACATGGAATGTTGCCCAATGCCAAAGACATACCCATATATATCCTTGAAGGAACTTAGAATAGTTCCATCTGGGACACTTTAAGCCACAAAACAAATATTGATAATAATATATTGGTACTTGTAGCCATGAGACTATACTGAAATAGAATGAATAAATACCCCTTGCATAAAAAAAGATGATACAGTAGAATTTAATCTTATAAATGACCATATAAAAATCACCCTTTTGTAAACACCATTGTAATTATTTCTAGAAAGGTTCACTATGGGTGACAAAATTATTAGACAAAAGTATAAAAAGCAGTGTTGGAGCCTGGAGAGATGGTTCGGTGATTAAGAGTGTTGGTTGCTTTTGCAGATGACCCAGGTTCAATTCCCAGCAACCACATTAAGTGTACCAACCACCTCTAATTCCAGGAGATCTGATGCCTTCTGGCTTCTGCAAGTACTGTACATGCATAGTGCAAAGATGTGTGTGCAGGCAACACACCTACATATATAAACTAAAAATATCTACATCTATAAAAAGAAACATAATGACAATATAATCTCAAAATACCTACCGACCAGTGCAATATTAATAGCAAAGGAAAACCAACATTCCTAGAACAATAAAAATTCACATGCCATAACATCTCCTTGGCTATAAGTCACTAGGGTAGATAGGGTATTACCCTCACTACTTGTCCCTAAAGTTTATTACTTGGTTTTAAATTGTAAGCAATCAGAAAAACCCAAGCTAAGGGCTATTCTACAAAATAACTGAGCAACACCCTTTAAAATGTCAAGGTCATGAATCACAAAACAAACAGCTATTTTACACTAAAGGAAACTTGGAAGGACAGTTTTCATGACATGGGTCTTGAACAAGAAAGGGCATCATAGCACAGGGCAGTTGGTGTTATCTGGGTTTTGTTTGGTTGGTTTAGGTTTTGGGGTGGTACTGGGCATTGAACCTATGTTTCCAGGCATAAGGGCTTTACCAATTGGTGACAGTTAAGTATAGCGATTAGATAATACTACTATATCAGAGAAAATTTGCTAGTGGTGATGCTAATATTTAGAATCTTAATAAGGAGCACACAGGCATTCCTACTATTTTCTCTGTTCATGTGTGAAATAATCACAGAATGAAACATGTTTTAAAATCAAACTGAATGATGAAAACAGCTCTATCCTTTAAAATGTTTCCATGATCACCCCTTGTTGAAACTATCCCTTCTTGAAACTCCTTTCTGGCCCCTTCTCTGTAACTCTGTAGTTATATTTATATCTCTATTATAATGGTTCCTAGTCTGACTCAGGCTCATAAATCTGCAACCTATGAGCTAATTAGACTTCATTTTTTAGGGGTCTTGGCTGTCACAAAGGTCCCTCTCCCCCACCAAATCTAATTGGTCAGTTACTTATAATTCCTTATAGTTTCAAACATAAGGCTGATGTTACTCATTTAATTAGCAGACTGACCCCTTCTCAATTTTTTTCTTAAATAGCTTAAAAATTTCTACCAAAAATCTCAAAATCTTGTGTGACAACCTCACATCTATTTTCATAGATTACTTGACTCAGGCTCTGTTCAAATGGCTGCATTTGCTGATTCATGGGGTCTGAGTTAATGCTCACTTGACTTTTATTACATCATGAAAATAAACGTGATTTCATTTTTGACTCAGAAATAGCTATTAGTCACCAAGTCCTAACATGATCTTTGAGGTTAATTGCAGTTTAGATCAATCACTAAATATATGAAAATGACATTCTGAGAGTTTCTGCATTTATTTCTCATTTCTCAGAAATGTCATGGATTCTTGGTTTAGGGTTTGTATCATCTCTTCCTGTATTTCCCACTCTGCAATTCAGTCATCTGGGGAACATTTAGAATACCTACACCCCACTTCCAGTTTAGATTCCCCAAATTAAGTGTGGTATATGTGCATGGGTGTATGTGCTTATGTGGATGCACTTGTATGTGAGAGTGCATTTGTACACATGTGTACGCCAGAAAGTTAACTTCAGGCATTGCACCTCAGGCCCTGTCTATCTTGTTTTGTTGTTGCTTTGGGTTTTTTGGGGGGAGGGTTGTTTATTCATCTGGCTTTTGT